TGAAATCGTGCACTAGTGTGTGAATATGAGGGCTAGATGATTTCAAGGAGTGTTCCATTTCTCTTAAGTCATTCCATGTGCATTTGGTGTTGTGTGAACCATTGGAGGTGTCACACTTGGGGCACTAGGCACTCAAGCTTCATGAATCATTCTACATCAAAGAGGTATGTAATTCTAACTTGAGATATTCATATGAATCAATTTTATTTTGCTAGTTAGGATGAATACCTTAGAAAGTTCATATTTGCATGTATAATATAGAAAACATAGATCCAAGGTATTTAGGGTTGCATGTACACTTAGGAGTGTTAGAATGCTCAAAACCCAACAGTGGTATCAGAGCCATGGGTTGTTTTCTGTTATATTGATACAAATGTTTTATTTTCAAAGTTGAAAAAAAAAGGAAAAAAAACATGACGTTTGTCAAATTTTAAGATGATTACTTGTTTTTGTGAAAACTAATTATTTGTAAAATTTGAATCATTTTCTATATAAGTTAAATTAGGTCAAATTTAGTAAAAGATAAAATGATATGATTAGTTTATTAGTTTTAAAAGTTTGATCTAAAGAGTTTTTTTAAACCTCCATAAGTTATGGATATGCAAAAGTTTAAAAAAATTGATTCAAAGTTTTTTTTTATGGAGCTACAAAAATTGGTGTTAATTTTTTAAAGAATTCCATAACTTGTTTTTAAGTTATGGAGCGTGAAAAGTTTCATCATTAAACAAACATTAAACTCCATAAGTTATGGAATCTAAAAGTTTTTTTTTTTTTTTTTTTTTTTTTTAAATTATCTTGATCTTATGAGTTGATTTAGATTAATAGAAAATTATGTGATAATATGTTTTCAATCAATTTTAATCTAAGAGTTGATTCTAAAATGTGTTTTTGTAACTTTTCCTCAAGTTACATAAAAAGTTACATTTAAGTTTCTTAAAACTTATAAAAGTTGTCATAGGTTACAAAATGAAGAGTTTGTCCCCATTAAATGGTTTTATGACTCCAGAACTTGTTCTCGAGTTATGGATGTATAATATTATAAGTTAACAATATATATATATATATATATATATATATATATATATATATATATATATATGCATGTATAAGAGTAAAGTCAGTCTTACCGTTAGTAAGCCTCATTCACGAAGCAGGTCTATAAGTAAGGGTATAAGGTTACTGCCTATAAAATGACGGTTTAATGGGTGTCCACTATCACCCACTGCTTCCTTGACCGGTGGAGGGTCGTTAGCCGAACGGGTAGAACAAGGACTACAATTCTTCCTTCATTAGAAGTATTAATGATAAATACTAAGTAACTAAACTCTTATAAATACTCAATCTTAGATACTTAGGAAAATGCGAATAAGGTGCTAATCCATTAAATTACACTTTGCACATTGTTTAAGCCGTTAGTGAAGCGTGTGTGGTTAATCGATACACTAACCTGGACTTAACAAGGTAGGCAAATGGTAACTCAACATTTATCATAGTATCGGTGGAACGTTTACATTATTATAATTGACCATTTACATTAATGTAAGATAAAGGGTTGAAACTCACTATTAATGTTATTTTTAAACAATCAAACAAAATATATGGGCCAACAACCCCTTATTTATTTGTAGAGAAGCAATTTAAAACAATCCCATTTGTAAAAAAATAATTCTAAAACAGCACCGTTTTTGCAAAAAATAAATAAATAAATAAAACTCATTTTTAGTATGTGAGGGAATCAACTTCCGTTGCTGGCCAAGAAATTGTGGTGCAGACATTTGAATCATTCCTAGGTCTAGTGATTATTAAATTTGATTCAAAAGTATTAAGTATACTCATAGCAATAATTATTATAGTCATAATCTTATGAGAGAGATTTTCAGAAGCCTTATAAATTATATTATAACTAGGTTAAAACTTGTGGAAACCACGGTTTAAAAAAAATATATATATATTTATAATTGAAAAATACAAGTTGTAATACTTAAAAAAAAAAAAAAAAAAAAAAAGTACAATGAATTATTTAATTTCAAACAAAAAAAAAGGAATAACATAAACATAGATTACACTAACGTTACTTGAGGATAAAGTATGTGAACATAACAGACCATACAAGTATAAAAGCGGTAATACAAATGTTAAGAAAAGTTTATTTCATGATTTTGACATGACAAATATGTATATATCTATTATCTACACCATTTTAATAAACATTTAAATTAAAAGTTACTTTGTGGTTTCATTAGAACAATAACCATATTTTAAAGTTCTAATGAAAATCTGTCAAAATTAAGTTGTTAAAGAAGAGCTACTTGTGCTCGTTTTAGAGAAAAGTATGGTTACAGAATTCTGGCATTATGTATGTACTTTTCATGTATTGAACATTCTTCATATTTATCTTTGTGATCTTTTCTCATTATTTTATATGTTACGGGTCATTGCAGAGTAGGCTAAAAGAAGAGATATACAAATATAAAAAGGCAATAGTTATATAATTATGTGGTTTTAATTATGGGTTTCTTAGAGTAAGAATGCTTATGTGGATTTATTAGATTACATCATTCATTGTTGTTTAAGAGGATCAAGAATAGTCAAAAACAAATAAATATTCATATTGGTGGTAGATGATTAGATATTTTTTAAGCAAAGATTGACACCGAAAATATATGGAATTCAAATGAGGTCCGTCAACAAAAAAATGAAGTATAAGTAAAATAAATACTTTATAAATATTATTAAGTCAAGTTTGGTTTTGTGAACCAAGTAATGAATATTAGAACGATAAGTAATTTGATTTTAATTGGGTGTAGAATATAAAGTATAAAGTAACCGAATGCAAATATAATTATTTCATTAATATAAAATGAGTAAAATGGGAAAAAAAAAATTAAGCTAAAAGATACCTGAAAATGTTAAAACTCTAATCCACATCTTTGTGTGGTATGTGTGATGAGGACAAAAGAAACCAATAATATATACTTTTGCTATTTTAGACAACTTCTCTTACTATTGTTAATTTGATTAGTAACTATATTATGTAATCTATATTTTGTTTGAATTAAAATGATGTAACAAGTTGGAAATCCAAAATTATAATTAAGATGTAATTTAACATTTTCCTTGTGCGAGAATGCTTTTTTTTTTTTACAGTTATTTAAAATCATTTTGATCTCTTTAATATTTTTTCTAGCCCAATCTATTTAGTCATGCTTATCTTCACATTGTCATAAAAAGCCCATGTTTAGCTTCACATAGACCATTAAAATCATCTTAAACTGTAATGCAATCAATTAATCTTCTTAAGCGAATCAAGAATGTTGATATATTATTCTATAAATAGTTATATAATGAAAACATTATCTATTCCAATCCGGGCATAAGAATTTGTTAATTACCAATGGCTTTTATGATCACCACTCCATCATCCATAACTATGAACTCTCCATACCCTTACATGACATCCATCAAGTTCGGATGCATTCCAGGGGCCTGCATGAGCATGAGCATGAGAGGAATAAGTTAAAGCAGCTTCTTCCTGGAGTTTGCAATTTAAAGCTCCAATGAAAGTAAATTCTAAAAAAGTAGGTGCTATGGATGGGAGCATTGTCGACCCGAATAAAGAGAGTCCAAACATGGTTTCGGATCTTCGCGTAGAAAGAATGATTCAAGATGATTCTATATTCCAAGAAATATTTTGTATTAGGTTATGTGAAGTAGGGCCAGATCAAACAGCTTCAATAGAAACACTAATGAACCATTTGCAGGTATATGTTCAGATGAGTTTTTAACAAAAATGGGGTTATTGAAATTTTTTTTTACCAATATAGTATAGTTTGAAAAATATTTACCAAATTAGTGTTTTTCTTATTTTTATTTATTTTTCAATATTTCTTATTGTTTTTCAATTTATTTAAAATATCAGCTATTTTACTTTTTTTATTTCAGTTTTTTACTATTTTTTGTTATTAAATACCACTTTATTTTTTATTTTATTTTCGTTTCAGATTTTTTTTAATATACATTTAACATAAACATCTAACACACAAAAGAGCTTTATTATTTTCGTTCATTATATGCCTGTTTGAGTAATTTTTTTTCCACGGTTTATATAATGATTATGAGTTTACTTTAATTTCCTTACCATTTATTTATACATATATTTTAAAAACTTAATCCAAGAAGTTTTTTCTCATGTCTTTATTTATACAACATTTGCATGCTTCTTAATTGAGTTTCTTTACATTGAAAATAAAATATAAAAAGCAAAAGTTTACATATTTTTTATGTCTTTACATAAAACCAAATATGTAAAAACATAAAAAACAAATTTTAAAAAAATCTAATTTGTAAAACGAAAGAAATCATAAAATACATGCATAAAACTAAATATGTAAAAAACATTTAGAAAACAAATTTCCAAATCAATAAAAACTTTTATTTCAAAACATGTGAAAACAAAATTGTAAAAAAAAAATATATACGGACAAAATTTGATAACACAACTATTACTTTGTGCAAATTTGTAAAAGTGAATAGTTGGGTAAGAAACTGCAAGTTATGGTAATATAATGAACCAAAATAATAAACCGTAGAAAAAAATTAATCAAATATAATGAACCAAAATAATAAAACTTTTTTGTGTGTTAGATATTTATGTTAAATGTATTAAATAAAAGTAAAAAAAATAAAAAATAAATAAATAAATAAAAAATAAACTGATATTTGAAAACAATAAATAGTAAAAAAACTGAAATAAAAAAAGTAAAAAAGCCGATATTTTAAATAAATAGAAAAACAATAAGAAATATTGAAAAATAAATAAAAAATGAATAAAAACACTAGTTTGGTAAATATTTTTCAAACTATACTAGATTAGTAAATATTTTTTTCAACAACCCCATTTTGGTTAAAAACTCATGTTTAGATTGTATATACGTAAAAAAAAAGATACAAATAAGTTGACTGTTATGGACATGTGCCTTTTGGTTTGTCTGTTTCTAGTTATGTACATGTTATTTATTCACAATCTCAAGGTGGACTCACAGGAAACAACAGCTAATCATATGAAAAAAAGGGGATTAATGCATGACGGGTTTGGGCTTGGGTCAGAGGAGATGTCCAAGCACAACCTAACGTGGGTGATGGCAAAGATCCAAATGGTTGTGGATCGTTATCCAATTTGGTACAACATGCATGACTCATTTTCATCTATACATGGACCTTGCTTCACTATAATTCTATCATTCAATCATCTTTGTCTTTGAAGCTGATATACATTTAACTTTTATTTTATTTATTTATTTATTTTGAATGGAAAATACAATATAATCCTAAACTACTTCTAAATCCACATATGTCTCCGACGAGACTTGAACCCTCAACCTAAAAGAGGGATGACAACACCTGATACCGTTGGGCTAGAATCCCTTTGGTATTTAACTTTTAGTAGATCATATTAAAACACATCTCTTTACAATTATGTATATTGATCAGTAACTAAATCATGAAACTTACTAGCTTTGACAAATTCACATTTCTTTTGAACCACTACGAGTTTGTCATATGATGTACTCTGGCATGCTTAAATCTTCTACAGGGGCGATATTGTTCAGATGGAAACTTGGAAAGCTGCGCACCGAAAAAATGGTTTGTGTTCTAATATGACATTACATGATTGCAAAACAGGCGAGATATTAGTAAGAGCTTCAAGGTATAAATCTTATCGTAACATAATGACTTAAAATTTTTTTGTATTGATATAGTACTTCTATCTTGTAGCTATTGGGTGATGATGAATACAAAGACAAGAAAGTTATCCAAATTTCCAAATGAGGTTCGAGCTAAACTCGAGCAAATCTATGTAAATAAACCCCCTTTAGTCGAACGAGACACTAGAACATGGTCAAGAAGTGAGGAGAAGATTAATGAAAACATTTGCAAAGTTTTAAAGGTGAGTCGAGTTTTATCTACTTTGAAATTTTGCATATTGCTTAATTGCTAAATATATGATTTTGTTGTTTCACTTTACACACAATATATTAGCCAAGATGGAGCGATTTAGATATTAACCAACATGTGAACAATGTGAAATCTATTGGGATGATCCTTGAGGTAATTGGTTTATCTTATATTTTAGAGAAAAGGACAATTCTAGCTTAATTCCTTAATGTTTTTTCAAGAAATAACAACAAAATTAAATAATTACCAAAATAGCCATGGAAATCATAGTCGGCTCGGATTGGGCTGTGATTTTTTCCTGTCGGGTGTAATTTACATATATACTTCAGTTAATATACATAGTTTAAATAATAGTTAAGGGAAGCTAATTACAAAATATGTCTATTTCTTTAGCGATAAGGTGCATGCCTTGCCTCTTAGAAGGCACAAGTTAAAAAATCGTTCTCTCCTGTTTCCTATTTTCCCCCCTTCAAGATTTCAGCAGCCCAAAGGAGAAAATCGCAATCCAGGAGAAGAAAATCGCTGCTCAATCCAATCCAATCCAACTATGATTTTCATGGCTATATATTTTTGTAATTTCATAATTTGTTGTTCATTTAAAAAAAAAATCATTAAGAAATTAGGTTAGATTTATCTCCTTTATGTTTTAAGGATGAATGATACATGAGTTATAATGACACTTAGTTGTTATCGTAGAGTGTTCCCAAGACAATTATAGAGAACTACGAGATTCATAACATGACACTAGATTACTATCGAGAGTTTACAAATGACAATATATTGCAATCCTTCACTTCTATATTGACGAACAACCGTGCTGAAACATCTAATTATGATACTATTGATTGCGAACATTTGCTTCGATTTGACATCGGTGGTGATAGTAGTAACATCATGAAAGGAATGACTGGATGGCGGCTGAAACAAGGAAATAAGGAAAGACTCTAGAGCATCAGTTACTTTTGTAATGTAAGTGTCCAACAATAAATAGTGTAAGAGTCAACTGTCCTCCATCAACGTAAATGTGTTTACGTTCTTTATCCGAATGATTGTTACTTTGAAACTCATGAAATGGGTGTGCTTATTTTTATTAAACCTTTGCAACTATCGTCTCATTACAAAAATCAAGGTACCCTTGTGATTATATAAATGGAAAAATATTTTGTCAAGGATTACAAACCATTTTACTTGATAACTAAATGATATTGTTGTGCTTATTATAAATGTGTAAAGAAAATAAGATGAAATAGAAAAAATGATTGGATAATCTTTTTAGATTCTTATTTTCCATTTGATGAATATGTACTTACAAAAATGATGAATGAAAGAAGTGAGAACTATATGAAAAGTTGACGAATTAGGAAAACATAAAACTGAGAGCCTCTCTTCTCTAATGTTGGACCTCATTTAGAGTAACAAAACACTACCAAATTTGTTGGAGATAACATCCAAGACATGAAGATAAGGTGAATCTTCAAGTCAAATCAATTAAAGTATGCTGCTATTTCTTGTAGTTTAACAAAAAATAGGCCTAGATGCATGAAATAGCTACTTACTTATACTTATTTGTAGTAAAGGAAGCTTAAATGCAATAAATAGTAAAATACATTGCTATTTCCTGCACTTGGGGTCATAAAAGGACATGTGGAATTTCTTGCACTTAATAACCTGAAGTGCTTCATCCAGCTTCATCAAGTACTCCTCTATTTTGGTTCCATTATGTTGACAACATAATAAGAATATGTAAATCCCAGAAGCCCAACTATCAGAATTTATAGAACAAATAAGAAGTATGTGCCTATTTCTTTCATTTCTTCTAAAATAATAATATGGTGCATACTACCATACCTTCGGTAAGATTTCTATTATCTACTTCATTTCCTCTTCAATATTTGTTTTGTAACATCCATAAAATTCAAGCCAATTTTAAACTTTTTAAATTATTTAAAACCATTCAGTTATTACAATTTGTTTCCAAAATAGTTTAAACATCAGAGTTCCCAGAAATCAAAATCATCAATCGAGGAAGTGTACGATCACGCCTTCGCCTTCTCGCAGTCATCCGCTGAAACTGAAACAATAAATTGAAACTGTAAGCTGAAAGGCTTAGTGAGTTACCCCCAAAATATCAACGCCATACAGATATAACCATATCATATAACAAATAGGCAAACAGCATGCGTAATGAGCCTTCAGCCTGATTGGACCGTCTCGCAGGCCTTCAGTCTATCTTGACCGCTCTCCGAGCCTTCGGCACGTTTGGACCGCCTCGTAGCGCCTACAGCCTATCCAGACCACTCGTCGGGCCTTCGGTCTGAATAACATACCCACCTGGGCCTATAGTCTATCCGGACCGCCCTAGGTATGTTGGTCTTCAGCACAAAGCAGGAATGCCTCAACCCAACCCCCAATCAAACAAACATGTGCACATACATATCATACGCTAACATATATAACAGTCAACCGATCTAACATATCAAATAGCATAGCAACATCCTATAACCAGTATACCTACCTAACTAGGTCACTAACATATACACAGATAATCATACGGATCTAACAGATCACATAGTGTAGCAACATCCTAAAACCAGGATACCGACCTAACTAGGTCACTAATATATGTACAGAGAATCGTATGGATCTAACAGATCACATAGCATAGCAACATCCTAAAACCATGATATCGATCTAACCAGGTCACTAACATATGTACAGAGAATCATACGGATCTAACAGATCACATAGCATAGCAACATCCTATAACCAGGATATCGCCCTAACCAGGCCACTAACATATGTATAGAGAATCATACGGATCTAACAGATCACATAGCATAGCAACATCCTAAAACCAGGATATCGACCTAACCGGTCACTAGCATAGCATCGTCCTATAATCAGGACACTGACCTAACTAGGTCACTAAGCATAAGCATATCACCATCCTAAGTACTAGGATGTAAACAATAAACATATCATGCCATAATCCTGATACAAATCCATAAAGAGCCGGTATTGGTGTCGTAGACCCTGTTGATATAGTCAGGAGAACTCACCTCGCAACTATCGACTCGAAAGATAATTTTAAATTCTCGGATCGCTGCCATAAACTCCACTACCTATATTCACCATAGAACCATACTCATAAATTCCCAATTTCCTAAAATGCCCCATAAGTCAAATAGCCAACCCTTGATCAAATTCAAAGTCAATAATCAACATCAACAATCCATGTTGACTTGACTCATTGAGTGCAGTCACTGACTCGTCGAGTCCTTCCATAATTCAAGTAGTCGTGAACCCCCCCCCCCCCACTGACTCATTGAGTCTCCTTGCAACTCATCGAGTCCAAGCGTGTCCAAACTTCGGGAAAACACAAGTTGACTCGCCAAGTCACCCCACTGACTCGCCGAGTCCACGCAGAAGTCTTTGCACAATAATCTTCATCAGACTCACTAAGTTGACCATGCAAATCGCCGAGTCCCTTCAGTCCACTATCCATTCAGATGCTTTTTAAGCCACTTTAAGGTTCCAAAATGCAGATCCAGCTTCCCAAGGCATGTTTATCATGTAAAGTTGCAAACTTTACGTGCATGCAAAGCTCTAAAGTCATATACTGTCAGAACCAAGCTTGAAATGGAATTTTACACTCAAGGAAAGGTTCACACTTGCTAAAGCTGAAAGCTTTATGGACTTAGAGACCCAAGAGAGTTCAGATCTAAAGTTACGACTTCAGATCGTAGCTCATACCCAAGAATAGCTTCTTATTATGCTAGAAAAGCCTTAATCTTTAACCAAATGAGATCTAGAATGAAATGAGGTCAAGATAATGACTTGACACCTTCAAAAAGATACTAACTGAGGTAGATAACAGATCCCCACATGTTCCTTGCTTCTAGACACTTGTTCTCCAAGTTCTTCTTGATGGTTTTTATGCATAAGAAACAATCCTATGTGCTCATACAAACCCTAATGTTTTGATCTAGGTTTCTCTATTGTACATGCTTTGAATCCACGACTTATAAACCTAAATCTATCATATATAATTCAAAATTATCATAAAGAAAACAGATCTAAGTGTTTTACCTCTTTCAAGTAGCTTGAAATCCTTGTAATCTTCTTGATCTTGAGCTTAGAGTCACAATTGTAACTCCTCTAATGGTTCACAAACCCCACAAGAAAGAAGGCAATATGAGGAAAGATGAGAGGTGCTGAAATCGGTCCTAGGGTTCTCTTAGAAGCATATGCAGCCGATTTCCATAGCCTAGGGGTCTTATTTATACTTGCAGGCTGCTAGGGTTTCAGTCTAAACCCTAATGGACAGCTTAACCACCAAGCAGCCCAAGGAACCTTCTGGAATAAGGCCTTGGGTGAAAATATGATGGATCCCCATCATAATTTCGTTCCCCCTTAAGTCCATAAGGTTTCCTTAGCCCAAAACTTAACTATCATACATTTGACAGTTTATACCCCTTTATTTAATTAATCTCTTTTAGTCACCAAATTAATTCCTAATTAATTTATGACCAATACTAATTAAATAAATATGATTTCTCCTTTAATATATTATTCTTATTGTATATTAATAAACCATAATATTCTCTCTTTCTCATTAAATTACTTTGTCAAGTTGCTTTAGTGAAGGCAACCCAAAAGGACCATGCACAACCGGGTCAAGTACATACCAAATATAGTTACGGGCTTAGACACTATTCCAATAGTCTCCCACTTGGATAAGTCTAGTAACTGTATCTCACATATGACTTCAGAATCCGATTAGCAATCGTAGCTCTTATACTTCGCTGTCAATTATGATCAGCTTGTCCTTTAGATAAGGGATCGTATAATCCTCTATTCTAGAGACAATGCTTTTTGTCCAACACTTGTTTCTTGATCTCTGATTTGTTCGACATAGAATTTAATTGAACACATCAATTTCATTTTGACCGGGACCGACACATAAGTCAAACCAAATCATCAAGTGGCCAATATATCACTTTTATTCTCATAGAGTAAAAGGAACATATCAACTTCTACTCATATCCATCTATTATTTACTAATTGAGTCATGCACAACAATGTGTTTTATAACATCAAGTTACTCATGCGTTTACACATCATCAATGCATAACCACCCAGCAAACAACAACCATATATCTAAGTTTTAAGACTATATGATATTATCGCTTTGTGATCACATCAGGTACAGCACCACGAAGTGATACCAGCAAACGCGGGTTTATTCTAATGCTCAAATCAAATTCATAAGCAAACACGAACTTTGCAGCAAAACTTTGTTATGCCCAAAACCTTTTAGACAATCTACAAACAATTCATGACAGTCTTCACTCACATCTACTTCCAAAACATGAACGACTGTGGACCGTTTGAATAATCTTATTATCCAGGAAGTCAAAACATGCAAAATAGAAACAATAGATAAATAACCAACACAAGACAGTAACTTTACTTATAAATAACACCACTTTATTTATTCATCAAATTTCAAGTACAAACTATCTATTACTCGTTTCCTATCTAATCCAAACTTATATCATCCTTCAACCCAATGCTCATAGCGTGCTGCAAGTGTTTGACCCTACTCAGTCCCATCGCAAGGGGATCTACTGGATTTTCTTCTGATGATACCCTCTTCACAATGATGAGTCCCTCTTCTACTCGATATTTGATAATATGGTATTTTCTATCGATATGTCGAGATCTACCATGATCTCTGGGTTCCTTAGTTAAGGCAACCGCTCCTTCATTATCACATAAAATTTCCATCGGCTCCTTTATGGATGACTTAACTCCAAGGTCTCCAATGAAGTTCTTCAACCATATAGCCTCCTTTGACGCTTCGCTTGCCGCAATGTACTGTGATTCGCACGTTGAATCAGCCACGGTCTCCTGCTTGGAACTTTTCCAAGTCACTGCTCCCCCAT